TTCTCCACCGCGGACACCGGCACACTGATGCGGCACGCAAATGCTTTTTAGCGCCGCTCTAGAGGCCGCCGCAAATTGTTGCCCATACACGGACTCGCATAACCAGCTGGTGGCCTACCTGCCGCGCACGTCATTCACGGCGTCGCTTTGTACCCCTTCTCTTGCGCTCCGGTGTCTACCGTCTTTTATTGTGCATTTTATTTTTTTATTCCCCAATTTATTGTAATTTGTGTTTTTTTTTTTTGCTTAAAAATTTTATTCATTCTTCTTGCACACAATTTCTGCGTTACGCACGTCTCTTTGCCGCTGTTACAAAGCATTTCATATTTTGTTGTAATACTCTTTCCGCTTTTTTGTTTGTTTCGTTCGCAAAATACTTGTTTTTATGCCTACAAATAAATTATTTATTAGTTCACACCGTTTGTTCGTTCGTTGCAATTAAAAGTTGTCGAAATTCCAGTCACGTAACAATTTAAATTCGTTTTAACAGTAACGTAAGTGCCGAAGCGGTGGGGAACAGTACACGAAAGTAGCGGAAACGACGCATGCACATCGTTTGTCGCCGAGCGCCAAATACGATTTAATAGACGCTTTAAATGGTGCACCGCTGGTGCTTAAATGCGTGCTGCGTATAACAGTACATGTGTAGTTATAAATGTGAGGCGGCGCTGATAAATTACTAAGTCGGAGGAAAATATCAGCATATTTTGAAATTTTTTATTTGAAAATACTTAATCATTTTTTGGTTTCTTACCCGAGAGCGATGATTTTGGTGGCCTAACAGTTGTTTATAACAGCATTAAAGGATCGATACATCTAGATGCCCCAAACTTTTTCTCCTCCGCTATCTTTACCTCTCTTTGAGAATGTTCTTAGGTCTAGTTCTTAATTCCGAGCATTAACTGAATTTGTTTGAATTCTGATTCTAATTAGACCAGTTTTTAGACGATAACTGATCAGTTTATAGATACGCATATACCACTTGATTTATTTCTTAATTACTTGGTGTCTCGAGAAATCTATTGTGTGGTGTGTTAATAATCCTACTTCGAAGGTACTATCATATATGGTATGTATACTCAAAATAAATTTAAATTGAGCTTCGCGATAAGCTCTCTGAGTTAAACGTAGATCACTCAGATCAGTTTTTCGATTGTTATACTCGGTTATCTAATTGGTATGCTCCACCTCTTCCTCTTTATTTTTTTCTGTGTCTCTTTATTTATCTCTTTGTAGTTCTCTTCCATCCATCTTTATTTCTCTCCCATTCTTAGCATCACTATGTCTCCTTTTAATTAATAATTATTTTTATTTATTAGGGTAATCAAGCACAACTTTAATTATCCTTAGATATACTTGTCTAATATGGATAAAAACTGGTCTTTGGCGTTCTACATCTCTCTCTCGCTCTCTCTCCGTTAGCCTCTCTTTCGAGCTTTCATAAATTTCATAAATAAAAAGTGTTTATAGCTAAGCTATATGAATGAAATGAATAGAGTCGGGGAAATATATGTAAATCAAAGGGTGTAGGAAAGCGTGAAAACACCTTGTTGTGAAGATTGCTACATTTTATAATTCAAGCTTGGGTCAATGGCCACTATGAAAGGCCATATTTGGAGTTTAAAGAATTTTGTATGAGAAAATATGAGCTTGAGAATATTGTATGATAACCTGAGCTAAAGAATATATTATTTAGAGAAATGTATTTAGCACGGTTTCTCTGCTGGTGAAGTGGGAAAAGGTGAGTTAGATATTAAGTATATTTATAATAATTTTACTGTGACCTCTTGTGATTTCAATGTAACCTCTCTTCTCCCAACTCAGATTTCAAGCAACTGTCCTCACTACAATATTGTATAACCCCTTTCTCAGCCGTATGGCCCACTGGGTGTTGTGGCAATCACACCGATGATGTTGTTAGGCATTGCTACTGCTTGTTAAAATATCGCGCGCAGAAGTATAAACCCAATTGATATCTAACAGATGCGAGTGCATAAACGTGAAATAATAAAACCAAATAGTCAAAGACTGCCGAAGCAAGCCAGATTAAGCAGATAGGCCAGTAGTGGGCCATAAAAATATCAACAAACTATTACAGCAGCCATGAATTCCAAAGTGAATGGCTGCATTTAATGAAGTCGATATTTCTACTAGTTTTTATTTTTCATTTATGTTTATTTGTGCGCAGACATTATGGCCACAGCGCGCTGCAACTCCGACACTGTAGAGGCATTTAGCGTACAGGTGTGAGCTGGCCGTGTTGCGACAAGTTGGTTATGCGCTGGCTTGAAATGAGAGATGCATATCTTGCACGCGGAAACTCATATCTTTGGCATTTTATTGTCAGACGCGCGGACTTGTTTCTGTTTCTTTTTCGCTTTGGAATGTCCAGCAGATATTTGCTGTCAAGCGTAGATATATTTATAAGTAGATATTGATGTTGCATAGTTGCGCGATAAATGCGGCAAGGCATGCCACATAGCTTGAAATGTACATATTTATTAACGCACACACATATATACAAATAAATATATTATATAATATGTAACTGCAGTTAAACCTGCGCTCAGCCACTTGTAATCGGTCTGTCATGTGTGCTGCCACAAATGTCATTAGTTGCCATGCCCACTTGCTGATCGCAAGCGAGTTTTTTATTTGATTTTGTTGTTGCTGCCACTTTTGGCGTGCCAATCGCACAATCAGGCCGTCAGTTGGCCTGCAGTTTGTTGCCTTAATGTCCATTCAGTGTAAAACGTCAAAAGAATGAAATGGGTAAAACTCAAAGCGATATGCGTGCCAGCCAGCGATATGTGTGTCTTTGTTTGGGCTTTCAAGTCCGTCGGGCCTTTGAGCACCTGTGCGCCATGCATGTCGCCGTTGCACAAGCCGGCAAGGTGGCTAAGTGCAGCGCTGAATACCACACACAGGCACTAGTTAAAGTTTCAAACAAAAATAGAGGTGGTAGAGAGGGGTAAACTTGAAATTTCTAAAAAAAGAAAAACATTTTCGCTTACCATTTAATGGATACCGACAGGTATATTAGAAAAAAAAAGAACGCAGTATTTTGAGCAGCTCTTGGGCTGAGGGAGTAGCTGCAAAAATCATTTAAATATCAACCCACAAACTCATTTGCATATGATAAGTCCATTTCTTTTCCTCACTATCTCTCCCTTACTTCCTTATTGCTTTTTCTCTTTGTTCATCTCTATTTTACTGCCTCTATATTTATTTGTTTTATCTATATCACTCACTCAAATGCTCTCTATCTATTGTATCTATCGAAACAGATGGTTTAAGGACTCTGATTTACTCTCGAAGAATTGGCCCCCTGTTTTTGCAATGCTCTTTACTCATCTATTTTGAGAATAGAAATCTGCAATCTGCAGAAAGAAGTGTATATTTAAGTAGGAGGATACGATGTTGATTTGGAAAATGTATTGATTATAATCTTCAGTCAAGGCTCACTTATATTATATAATATGTTTCAATGTAACATGAGACTATAGTAGCATCCAGCTACGGACTGTTAAACCGAGTTTGAAAGTGAGAAATTACTTGTGTAAGCAGCATATGCATTTAAGATCCCCTTTAGCTTGAGTTCCGTCAGTATTGAGAAGGCTTATTTCATGATCTTGGACTTCAAATTTAAGATAATGCTTGTATTTATCGAATGGTTCAATATCAAAATCTGGACGACAGCGCCATCTAGTTATGAACTTTAATGCCTTCTTATAAAGCAAGGAAAAGCGGAACTCCATTTTATGACCGTTTAAGTCAAATATTGTATTAGTGAATACAGTGTGAGACAAAATTTGTGTGTACAAAATTTCTCAGGAATATTCGATGAAAAGTGTTTTGAGATGTTCGAGAGATGGAAAGGAATATATGCAGACCATTATCTTCAGCGCAAATATGATGAGAAGTAGATTAAACTTTTTGCTGGTTGCAGCATGTTGCTGGCTTCAAAAGAGATAAGTATTGTATTAGAAAGGCAAAGTGATAAAGATTTTGACCACGTTTCACTAAACGAGATTCCGAAATTAGAATTTTGTCAAGTTTCTTTAGAGGCGCTCGACTAAACTTTCTTGCTAAACAGGAAAAATACTTTTCTCTCAAATTATTATTTTCATAAGTTACTTTAAGGTTAAGCAGTCGATTTTGCTACTTGACATAATTTTTATATAAAGAGTACTGCCGAAAACTACAACATATCAAAAAACATTATAAAAGCCATCAAGCGCCTCCTCAAGCTACGCCCATGCTTTTTACTGTGTATATTTTTGTATATATATGTACACATATTTAAACTTCAACAGTCCAATTCCAGTCTGCTGTCACCTGCTGCTAAGACAACAAATTTGCTGCGTTGGAAAAATGCATTTGCAATGATTTGCAACCTGTTAGCAGAATGTGCAACATGTGCAACAAAGAAGCAAACAACACTAAATAACAAAAAACCATGTGCTGCCGCTTTTTCATGCAAATTTCATTGTGTTTTTGCTTTGTGCATAGTTTTAGCATATGCCTTTGGGTTCTTGCCCGAAAGCAAAGGAAATATGCATGTGGCGGTGCCGCTTTTGGTAGGTCGTAGCAATAAGCAAAATTTCCGGCGTGACCACATATCAAGTATGTGTCACATTGACAGTTTGGTAGCGGCATGTGGCAAGTGTGGTGAGCGTAAGACAAACATTTACATACAAACATATATGTTCTTGATTTAAATGTGCAAGCAAATGCCATGTTGCACAAGCGTAGGTTTTGTTGCAATATTCGCTGCCATGGTTTTTTGTGACGTGTGAAGGTTTTAATTTTTATTTTTTAATTCTTTTGCTTATGTTGTTTTGTCGCTAATTGATTTTTTAACTTTACGCAACGATTGACTTAACTTGCCACACAGACTTGGCTCAAAATTATTACACGAAGAGTTTATATGTATGTATATGCTTACAAGTACATGAAGCTGCTCTGAATTATTAAGAAGTTATGTTTGCACTTACCACCAATTTTTCAACGTGACTGCAAATCAAAAGAACTGTAAGAGGAATGAAAATATGTTTTAATTAATATTTTTTATATGAAAAGTCCAAATTTTTAATTAATATGCAATGATGTGATTATACAATAAATATGATAATATTTTGAAATAGTCACTATATTTTCTTTTTTTTATTCTCCTAAAACGGTTGCTTCCTTCAAGTGCCTCACCCCCAACCAACTTCAACTAGCATACACAATATTGGAGAGATGCATGGCTAGAGCTTTTGGAGGCTTTCGGATGGTATATTATGTATTGGGAGTTCCTAGACGAAAATAAATTGATTGCTTATTGGACCACTAGAGAACTGGGCAGGTATAGAAAAAATTATCTCACATAGTATCGAAACATTGTATGTAAATATTTGTAATAGATTTTTATAAAATCGCACCTGAAGTGATCATTTAAAGACTAAAACTAAAGACTCTACCAAGTCATAGACTCTACCAATTCGTGTTCTAGTCACAATCTAATACGACGCGACGATATACAGAATTTTTTATGTAAGCGTATCGCTACCTTTATCCAGCGCCTATTCAGCTTAAAAGAATGACAGGCTGAATAAAAATATTATTTCTTACTCTAAGCGTTTTGAACGTCGTATTTTTAATGCAGGAACTCCATACTAAGCGTTTTAAGTACTAAAGTCCTTATTCAGCTTTAGATGACATGACTGCTGAATAAAGCACCGATTATCAAGGTGCCTGGAACCAGGTGCGATTTTGATAAAAATTTAAATGGGCACGAATGTTTGAACTTTCAAACTGAGCACCAGAGGTGGGGCGTCCAGTAAATGGGTGCACTTTTCGGTTTAGTTAGGTATATTCTCTTATAAGTCTAATTGTGGAAGTTAAGCGAACATTAACGTCCTAAAGACAAACAAAAATAGTGATGCAGGTCCGCAGAGTAGTCAGACACCAAGGAAATGGATAATATAATAAACTTCTACAATTAAACTTTAGTTTAAATGAAACTGAACAATTGGACGCTTTTTAAGAGAAGTCCACTGAAACCTTCTCATGGATTTTTTTCAAAATATTTTATGTACATAACGGCTAAATCTTCTGGTAATTTCGATATCTTTTTTAAATCTCGTATAAGAAGTAAGAGTAAGGCTGAAATAAAATATATATTATATTTGCTAAATGAGAAAATAGTGCTATTGTGAACGGGCTCTTGTAAAATGCTTTTCAAAAAACAGTAGCCAAAAATCATTGGAAAAACTCATTGTATGGTTAGGTTTTCAAACTTCAATGATCAAAAAAACATTGACATAATGGCAGTTGACAATCAAGGGTTAATAGAGTTGTTAAATGTTAACTTTCCGAAATTTCAGATGAGTTAAGTATATCTTTGACACTCGCTTATACGAAATGCAAAAATATTATTTTTCAAAAACCATTTTCAGAATAAATTATGAATTTTTTGAATCAAAAACAATAACACATAAATTTCAAATATCGAAAAAATGGCATATTTTTATTACACTTGGGCTACGAAATGAGCTCATCGAAACTCGCTACACCTGCGATGACTTCACCTAAGAAAGCAAAACAAAACGATAAGATTAAAAAATCAAATTAATTTTGCAAACTGTAATAAGCAGCTAACTGTCAATGCAAATTACTCACAAAATAAATACGTACATATGTATATAACCTGACTAAAGCCTGCAAGTAAATCTAAGCCAGCTGCTTATGAATTTCGTTTGTGCGCAATTTGCATAGAAAACAAATGCAAAGATTGCAGGTTTTGACAGGCGTTAAAACAACCAGTTTTGTATAATTTAAATCCACAAAGTCGTAAATAAAGCATTACTAATTTATGGCTCTCTGCTAATGAAGTGTGAGCGGTAATGAAGCGGCGAAAGCGCTAAAGACAGGTTTGCATTTCTTGCTGCCAAATGTAATGCCAGCCGCAGTGTTTAAGGGATTTGCTTTGAGATAAAATTAAAAATAATAGTAAAATATACACACAAATGTATTTATAATGCAAAGAAATATTTAGGATATTTAATTACAAGTGCTTCGAAGCAAATTTCAAATGCAACGCAGGCGTCATAAATTTACAATGCATTAAGCGTCTTGAAAATAAAGCGCAAATCTTAGAGATATTTTAGAAAGTCTTCATTAAACATAATAGAAATTCAACTATGCAATACAGTTTTCTAATGCCAACTAAATTATTCAAGCGAAATTGCATAATGTTAAAGAGAAGTGCCGAACAAATGCAATTTCAAAGGCGTTTCAATTAGGCAAACACAAGCAAACACTTCTACATATATATTCCTACATAGATATATACTTATAATAACAACAACAAAAATGTATAGTATTCTATTTCGGCATGCTTTTGAAGGCCCCTTGCATTAACACATGCGTTTCTAACTTTGTTTTGTTTTGTTGTAGTTTCATTAGCAGACCTTTGAAGCTTTTTAACTGCATTTTCACCTGCTTTCAAATGCTTTTAGTTTAGGCTTGTTTGTTTACTTACTCGCCTATTTGACCATTTGCAAGTGTAAACAATGCCACTAACGGCATATTTGTTCAATTGACAATTGTATGTGCAATACCTACATAGCTATACGCATCAATAGATCTGCTTTAGCCCATGTTCTGGTGTTTATATTGCGGGGGTAAACAAAATTCGTGGCGCATTAAAATGTAAATTAGCCATCCGGCGCAAATAGTTGGACAAAATTTTAGGCGCATGTGAAATAAATTCAAATATAAACACTGTTAGCGAAAGGCAAATGGGCGCAATAAAAGAATGTAAAAGAGAAATAGTGGTAATATATGCAATAGGAAGGTCATGGCAAGCAGTTGGCAATTAATTAGTGAATTTACATTACAAAAACAAAAGTAATTATTTTATCTCCACAAAAGTGTATAGACGTAGCATTATACTTAATATCAAAATGATAAGTCAAAAACCTCTACTTATTAAAGTTTCGAGACCAATTTGGGTTTGCCCAGCATGCTCAGATACCGCAGACCATATCTCCAAATTACCAACCACATATTTTTGGTTTTTGTATAGTTTTTCTTGTTATCACAGTGCCCAAGAAAAGTGCATCACAACCAGACTCTCACATTTCTGGTTGTCACTATTATGGGCTGTTCAAGAAAAAAACGTTGGAAATCCCAAAACACTTTTTTGGTATCGCTATAATACAAATACTTGTATATATAATATATATACAATATTTACGAGCTTAACGTTAGCATCTATAAGTAAAAGTTATTTTTAAAGGGCAACAGGAAATTTACATTAAATCAAATTCCATTTGAGAGGAGCGTTAAAAAATATTCTTCATAAGATTCGATGATCGATAAACAATTATATTAATTGACATAGAGGCACAAAAACTGTCAAGTTTGTCCTTTACAACTATGGCCTGTGCTTTTAAGTGTCATAAAAATACAACAAGTCCAATTAACACTACAAGTATTACTTTTGGTTTTAATTTAACTTTGAGCTGCATAGTTCAGCTTTGTGAAGCTTAAATGAGAATTAGTGATATAATAAATAATTATGCGCGTACATTTTAATCCTTATAAGAAATTGGTTAAAAATTACTTTTCTACACCACAATTACAAAAACTGTTTGAGACTTTCCATATTCAAAACCTAATGAAACCTAATGCAACTTTCAGTTGGATCACGAGTGGTTCTCACAGAACTCTAAAACACAGTGTATATCTTAATTGAAAATATCATTTACTTTTCCCTGCCAATTCGTCATAGAAAAATGTAAAAGTATTTAAGATTTGAAAAAGTTTGAATAAAGAAAAAACAAAATTTCTTCGTATTTTCGATAATAGGCACAAAATGTCTAAACAATACTAAAAACCTGCGGAAATCATTCTAAGCGGAAATATTCAAAATGAGTAGCTACAAGCAGAAACAAATTGCTGTCTCATTATTATCCACACAAATGTATATATCTCTTTTTTTATCACTCATAATGCATTTTAACTAGGCATTATTGTCATGCTAGTCAAGATTGCAAATATTTACCAATGTAATTAAAACAAACCGGCACTTGCTCCCCCACCACGCCGCCAGACTAGCGATAGCTCCAGCGAAAGCCACTTTCTGCGGTCCATTTTCCAGCTGCAATATGTTTTCACAGACGAAAACAAACGCCATTTAATTGTAAATACCGGCTCAAAAATAAACAGCACTTCATTTAAATTGGGGTCAGACTCGTTGTGGCGGACGAGTGTGCGCTTTATTTTGCTAGCCGATAGAAGAGAGGGAGCACAAGGGGGCATACCTAGCAATTTCGGATTAGAATTAGTTAATTATTTAAATATGAAATGAAATTAGCTCATCAGTAATGCATGGAAATATCGACGAAAACTCCCTGCACCAACAATAACAAAACGCTGCCTAGTGCAAACGCCAATAAGTCTGCGGTCAACAGAGTGATTGAGTTTGGTTTAGTTAAGGCAACAAAAATAGTTGCATCGCTGGCTACGCTTCCGACTGATGATAAAATGGAGATGTGTGCGGAGCGCTTAGACCGCCACTAGAGAGGAAGTCGGCGCAAATATTTTATTGGAGCAAAGTGCAGAGTGTTGGCTCTGGATGTGAATGACACATACATACATACAAACATGCTTGCCGAAGCGTGTGTCGTAAAATGTGCCGCCGAATAAAGCTAATAAGCTACGAAAATATGTATGAGTAGTTGTTGTTGTTGGATAATTAGTTGGCTGTTAAGTACACATTAGATAAATAAGCTTGGGAAATAAATCATGTAAAGGCAACAACAACAATAACGCTGAAAAATAACAACAACATCAATATACACAATTACAACAACATGACAACGTATCAAACAACGACAACGCAATACAACAACAATAATGAACCAAAATATATAACAACAGAAACAAAAAGCACAACGAAGTAATGCCAAAATCGACAACAACAAAAATGATAAAACAACAACAACACCAAAATCACACAAAAAGTGAAGCCTAAATGAC